ATTTGGTGGTGGTTGCTACACAGCAAGGGTATCAAATGAGGGTGTGAAGACATTCGATTATAAAATTTTACTATGTAAATTCGAATTTTACTATATATGATGCAGATCATCCAAATTTTACTATGTTTTACAACCTCCTATAGATCGGCGGGAAATGTCCTGTGACTGTTGAGTTAACTCAAATATCGCTCATTCAGAAAAATATCTGAGAGGGGGAATCGCCTCTCTATAAATGTTTACTTAAAGATTTAGTTAACATATCTATTTCTGAATTGTCCAATTGGAAGTAAAGTCATTAGTAACGACTTGGAAATAATACGAAAGCTACCAAAAAATTTATATATCAATTTTATGGTGAGTATTTTACTTTTTTTTAAAGAAGTTTACAATCAGCGGAAATTCCTGTGCAATTAACAGATAAGGATATTGTAATCGAATTTGTAAAGACCTTGCTAATTTTACGCAATATAACAACCATTAACATTCCCAACTGTCTCATGCATCTATATTAGTGTTGGTTGCCAAAACTATTTTGAAGAGGCGAAAGTCAAAACTAAAATTAAAGGTTATATGTCAAAACTAAATCAAAGTCAATAGTCAAAAATCAAAACTAATTTCGACTTATGGCGAAACCTTTTGACTTTCGCATGGTTGCGAAACTCTCTAATTTTGGAAACCAACACTAATCTATATCTAGATTAGAAAGATGGATGGAAAAAAGTATAACAATATCTCAATTTAATGTACCTCGATTTTAATGGATTGAGGTCCAAGAATGGTTTAATAACGATAACAAACTAAAACTATAAAATTCTTCTCAATATAACGGATTTCTTGATAATAATAATAATAATAATTATAACGGATTTTTGGAAAAGATTGTGTGCATTTTTAAATTTTAAAAATTTTTTTTAATTGATAAAGGATATTATTTAGTGATGGTGGTCGAAACTATTTTTGAAAAAGGTAGTTTCGCCCAATACTATAGTAAAAATTAATTTCGCCCAATTTCAGCTATTATTAAAAATTAGTTTCGCCCAAGTTTAGGCCAATTAAGGCAGTTTTAGCCACTAAATAATAATATTATTAATTGATAACAATAATGATATTAATGACGAATAAAATTTACATTAATAAATATAACTAATGATTGCTATAGATTCGAATCAGTCGAATCAAAATACAATTCATATTTGAATCGAACTCGATCCGAATGAAATGAATCAAAAATTAGATGATTCGATTCGAATTTCATTGATTCGTTCGAGCCTTACTTGTACTTTGTCCAAAAGAAATCAATATATATACACATCATTATCGACCATTTCAGTTGTTTCAGTGTATTCAATTTCTTTTGTTCCTTTTGTCCATCTTCATTGTAATTACATACGTATCTAAAGAAAATTTTTAATCGCTAGTTCCTTTGAATAACAATATATTGAGCAAATATATTTGTACTTTTTCATCTTTGATTTCATTGTCTTCACCACCATTATAATATAATCGTCACCATCGTAACCATATTTTTTCTTTCGAAAATTAAAATTGAAAAAACAATTAGATGCAATTAATTCCTACACTATTTTTTTTTTTTAATCTCCTTTATCATCAATATCATTATAATCCCTCATTTGTTTATTCCTTCCGTTTCTTTCAATTTATCCCAAAATTGCTCTTATAGTTAGTTTTTCCCAGGTTTTTCATAGGTAGAAGTTTTTTGCGACAAAAGTAGCAATTTTTGCATTCAATAATATATAATTTGATCGTCTTTATTTCATTTGTTTTGGAAAATTCAGTTAAATTGGCTTTCCCAAATATTTTATAAATTGCACTTCCACTAACTCATCAACAAATGAAGGTACTGTATCTGTGTGCTTTTTATTATTATTATAAATGCGGTTAGGTGGAGATTAGAAATGGCATTTTTGTTATTGTTATTTTTTTCCACTCATGTAATGCTATTAGTTTCAATAACTGTGAAATCGTTTGTTTTTTTGATGCTAATGATTAAATTAATAATCACAAGCAGTAGTCAATTTAAATGGCATTTTTTTGAACAATTTATTCGAAATAATTATTATTTAAATGCGTGAAAATTATTTTAATCAATCAATGATTTTATAATTACACAGAAAAATATCAGCTTGTAGTCTAGGTCCTGTAGAACATGCAAGCAAAATTCCATGTTTCCTTGAGTTTCCGTATCATTTATTAATATTAATTAAATAAAAAAATTTAATTCAAACTTTGCATGCGTAATTTACAGGACCTAAACCACCACAAACTAATGTGTGTATTTAAATTTTATTAAATTTCATTATGAAATATTTGAACAATGAAAACAAAGTAACAAACAAATGAATTATGGATCACATTAATATTAATATATCTATCAAAAAATTCGAGTAAAATAAAGAAATATTACAACACCAATATCATTGGTGAAATATAATTTTTTTTAACAATAATCTAATTGTATGTTGTGTCAAAAAAATTTAATTTTTAAATTCACGACATGTACAAATATTTGCGTTTTTTTTTGTATATATTCATTTAAAAATAATATCAATGAAATTCCTTTTAATGATAAATATTTTTGCAATAATTAATTGTAGTAATAGCACATAATTGATAAAACATACATGATAATAATCAATGGGCTTGAATTTCAAAAATAGCAAACTTCAATTAATATTTGTTATAATATTTATTATTAATAATGCATTTTCTGATTATAGTGCAACACGTTATGCAGCTGTTAGTGTAGTAGTGGATAACAAACTTTACACTCTTGGAGGTATAAGCTTAGAAAAGACAGTAGTTACAACAGATTCATTATTTTATGTGGATTTAACTAAAGATTTTGATGTTACAAATGTACCATGGGTAGAAAATGACAAATTACCTATAGGTATTGCTTGGTCTGTAGGTGCAGTTGGTGGATCAAATAAATCAACAATTTTTTTATTTGGTGGAGTTATGGTAAATCCAACTACTGATGCTTATAATTTCAACAACTTGCTTTATGCGTATGATGTAAATACAAAAGTTTGGAGTACTCCAAAAACAACTGGTAATACTCCTATTAATCGTAGAGAAAATAGTGCTGTTGTAGATGATAAAGGAAAAATGTATATTTTTGGTGGATTAGCAGATAAACCTACTGGATCTTCTACCAATCAATACTTTAATGGTATGTATATTCTGAACACAGTAGACCTGACTTGGAGTTTAGTCTCTGCAACTAACCCATCATTGGCAACTTATGATCATACAACAACTTTATTACCTGATGGTAGAATTGTAATTATTGGTGGAAGAGAGGGAGTACATGGAACTATGGTTAGCATGTATAAGGTATGCATTTATTTTATACATCTGTATGAAAATATTTATCATAAAGTAAAATAATATCTGCATGTTAATATATTCATTTTATAGATAAAAATTTTTGATACAAGTAGTTCAACTTGGACAATTATGGTATATATTTAATCAATTAAAATATAAAGTTTACAAGATTCTTTATGAAAAATAAACAATTTAGTTTCAATTTTCTTACACCTTGATGAAAATTTTAGATAGCAAATGGTTCATTAGATATCCAACCTCGAAATGGTCATTCAGCTGTACTTTGTAATAAATTTTTAATTTAAAATTTTTTAGAATTTTTTTAAAAAATATACTAAAATTATATATGTTGTATAGCAAAGGATGGAAGGATAATTGTTTATGGTGGTAGTGGAGGGCTTGTAGAATTCACTACATTTCCTGAACTTTTGGTACTAGATACAACCACAAATCCTTTTCAATGGTCTGCACCTAATTTTTCAAATGTTAATCGTGCCTTACCTGTAACATATCATTCAGCTAATTTAATCGGAGATCAAATGATAATAAGTTTTGGTATATTTTACTTTTTAAAAATTTTTTTATTTTTTTAACTTTGAAGTTAATTAATAATTAATTACTAAATTACATATGTATGTAGGAAATATTACAAATAATGTTTCAGATCCAAAATTATCTACTGCAAAAACTTATATACTTGATATTAAAGATTTTACTTGGAAGGCAAGTTATTCAGTACCTGCAGTACCATCACCATCAGAATCAACATCAGCATCAGCATCAACATCGACATTGACATCAACAACACCAACATCACAACCAGATACATCAACATCAATAACATCATCAAACACTTTTCTAATATTAATAATAGTAATTGCAATTTTAGTTGGAATAATATTAGTTATAATAGCAACATTCATAATTGTAAGATATAGAAAGAAAAAAAATACAAGTGAAATCATAGAAATTCCTAGTGATGAACAGCTTAAACATAGAAATACCCTATCTTATCCTAATACTCCAACTCGTTAATAATATTATGATATTGATTATGTCAACTCCACTAAGATTATTTTTTTAATTTATTAAAATTGGTAGATTCCAACATCCCCCTAAGTTTATTAATATGCGAGCATTTAAAATAAATCATTTTAATAAAAGTGATTATTGAAACCTTTTTAAAGAAAGTTTAGAAGGTTACAATAAACAAAAGATTATTATTATAATAGCTGAAATTTACTATTGGCTATTAATGCGTATAGAAATGAACATCAAGCAGGAACATTTGCAGCACTGAGGTTTACTTGTCATACTAATACTGTAACAGGATCCCAGTAATTTTTTATATCAACACATCTAATATAAGTTCCCTGCTATGCTTTAAAAAATGCCCAAGTTTTTACAGGTAAAGTTTTTTTGCGTCCCGGCTAATGTAAGGGTAAAATTATTTATAAAATATATTGGCAACAGTATACTACTAATACATTAGTGCCGCATTATCTTTGGAAATTTTTTTACTTTTCCAGACAATGAAGAATGCTCACAGCAAAAAAGACCCTTATTACATATTTTGATTTAAGCCACAAAAAGGGTAAAAATAAATATATAGACCATAGTGAAGAAATTATACCTTCTAATACATTAAATCAACTACTTAATTTCCCTTTAATCGCTGATAATATTCATAAAAAGCATTCATTTAATGAAAATTGTGAGTGATACGGATGATGATGAATCTGATGAGTATAATGATAATCATGCTCATTTCGGGAAAGATTACTTGTAGAGTTATTATGTTTAAACATTTTCTCTTTTCGATTATTGGAACATACTTTACGCTTAGCAAATTCATCATGTTCACCTATTAAATCATAATAATATCTGGCTTTCCACATTCTAGTTGATTGTGAGTTTTCTTCACACTTTTTTTTTTGTGGCTGGTTAGAACTAAACAGGCAAAGATTG